TTAGAGTCATAACCGGTGTAAAAAGTGAGTTCTTTTAAAATGTAGATTTGCATGTGCTACTATCCATATCAATCCCAAAATATAGTCTAAATAATCTATAACGAGCAAAATAATCAATATATTTTCTATTATTAACACATCTAAATTGTTTATAAACTCAATATTATATTTACCTAACAAAGTTTCTAAATAATTTTACCTAACATAATTGCACAAAAAATAGTTCCTAAACTCAAAATGTAATATTAAATAGTTCCTAAACTCAAAATATAATCAATATATTTTCTATTATTAACACATCAAAATAGTTCCTAAACTCAATGTTATATTTACCTAACAAAGTTCCTAAATATTTTTACCTAACCTAGTTACACAAAAAAATAGTTCCTAAACTCAAAATATAATATTAAATACATCTAACCATCTACAAAATGTTAAAAAAAATATCGCCTACTCCTCGTGAACATCCTGTTACATGTACATTGAAACTTGTAAAGAACTATTAAATAAGATTGATACTATGTACTTCCAAGACAAATAATATACGTTTTCTACAAATATTATCAAAATAATATAAAATTATAAAGTAACAGTGACCATGATCAATTAAATAACTAAGAAAACATATCATAAACTACTAAATAATAAAATAACACACGTCCAGTACTAGAGAACTAAAAAACTACACAGGAATTTCCTCCTGTTATGTGAAAAATGCTACAACATAGAACCTATATACAAAAATCAATTTTCTTAAACACCATAGGACCGTAAGAACTTGCAATAAAGAATAACATACACAATAAGCTTCCCAAGACTTGACAAAAAAGTCTTTCTTTTGTGTCTTGTACTTGTACTGTTAGTATGAACAGACTATTTTCCAAGATAGTTTGTCTGTCCAGAATCTACGATTGTCTTCAAGCAAGCGACATCTTCGTTTTTCATTATTTGGGTACCTTTGTCCAAACATTACATTGCAACATACCTCCAAGATCATCCATATGTGAAAAATTATGGCAAAATTTCCAAGATTTGGACAACATTATTGAAGACTGGCAGGCATATACATTACTTCAACAACCAATTATATTACTCTGTTGAAAGAAACGATGGATGTTAGATCAATACCATACTAAACTTTTTTGGATAATAATGTTCGAATTATATATAACTAATAATTAGCACAAAATATAGCAAAATGAAAAGTTGAAAGGTCAGTTATGTATTCGTTTAAAGAATATTGGACTATACAATTTTTTGAGACCACAGGTTTGACAGTGGTTTGCAAGAAGTTTTAACTGAAGACAAATTTAAAAAAGAATGGTCACCATTAATTTACCTGCACCTAGTGCTCTATTATTTCCAATGCATGTGTCTAAGATAATTCTTGTGGTTCGAAAAATACTGAGCCACATGAATAGGACTGATCCTAAAACATATCACCTAATATATAGCAAAGCCTAACTCTTTCCTTCTATAATCATACAAAAATTCAGCACGTATATCATTCTCTGCATAACCTACATGAAAGCCAAGAAATTCATGAGCACGTCAAGGGGAACAAAATAGCAGTTAGAATATATGATCTATTATTATTACATGAATAAATTTTCCCTGTAGAGATTTTCTCTAAAACTTTAATAAAATCCATGAGTTTTATTAAAGCTTAATGCAGTAATTAATGCAGTAATTAATTTTCCTTTTTCAATATCCCTCTGGACCAAATAAAATTTCCTATCAAAATTTCAAAACTTTTAACTAAATAATTAGAACAAACTTTTTACTTTGGAATCTTTAACTATGGTACTTGGAATCTATAACTAGCTATACCAAATATAACAAAATTGACGCTTTGAATACGTCCATCAAAAAGAAGAAATTACCTTATGAGGAAGTAAGTTGAATTCCAATCTTATTAATTAAAGTTTTTAGTAAATGTAATTAGCAGATAACTCAGTAACAATATTCTTACGGAAGGTGGTGTAGCCAGTGTGCTTCCATTAGCTTGTTCTCTCACTTTTAGTTCCTTCTCAACTTCTTTTCTCTTCATCTCACTTTGGCGTAAGAGACCAACAAGTTCTTTTATTTGATCTTTCATTTCCCTTAACTCCATGTCCTTCTCCCAGAGTTGGCACCTATTGTCAACACACAAATTCATAACAGTATACAATATCACAATTGTGCTTTGTTCAATTAGAAAATTGTTTAGTTATCTTATTTATAGAGAATTGAAGAAAAAAATATAATTAATTATAGAGAGAAAAGGTATAGGTCAAAGGACCTAGCATGTGCAGCAGAATTAAACATATATTGAAGCAAATTCTTCGCTTCTCCCAATGAACGCAATTGATTCCAGCGTCCACGATTAGAGATGGCTCTTTCTCGTTCTTCTGCCTCAGAAAGTTTAGAAGGTATTGCAACAAGTGAATTAGATTATATACTCAGCATGTTCTCAAGTGAAGCTATTCTGGTCATTCTTGCATTTGGTGACATGGAGGATGCCCCGGGAAATACAATTTTAAAAGCAGCCAGGAAAACATATGTTATCCATCATATCTTCTATGCATCAGTACCTCAAAGATCAAATATTTTTGAGAACTTAAGAGGAAGACTTGACAAATTAAATTAACTTGTTTTCAAAAGAAATAGTACCTGGCAAATGCATTCTTTCTTGGAGGACTGAGACCCTTTGCAGCAAACTCATTTACTTGCTTCAGCATGGCTAATTCATCTGCAAGGGCATCATGTCTGAAGATTGAGCCATAGTATTATAGACTATCCAATATAGATCAATCAGAAGCAAGAAGCAAAAATAAGTACTGGACGTGTGTTACATACACTTGGCTCTGTTTCTCATACTCAAAAAGTTACCCTAGATTCAAATATCATTATTTACAAGAGATATTCATAATTCTTACCATATCAGCTAATTCTCTGATAGATGAGATCTCCATAAGAAAGTCAATTCTGCAATCAAAAGAGCTAGAAGTAATATCCTAGAAGAAAAGTCAATAGTCAGCTTAAAATTGATAAGCTTTGGTACTTTAAAATTGATGCAGATTTGTGTTATAAGTGATCCCTAACCCAATACATGTAAGAAAAAAGAATCCCCATATCATCATACCACAAACACTCCATGATTCTTTGGTACATGTATATGTACATTGTCGACTATAATTCTAACAAGCAGTGTGAATTTCATGATTGGAAAGAAAACATTTACCATATTGGAAATATTGATGTAAAATACATGCTTTCTTTCTCAACAAAAAAACTTTTAGAGGCTTAAAATCAACCTCAAAGACTGGAGTCAACAAAATCATTAAAAATAATATAGCACATGAAAAGTTAAACACCTGTAATAGACTCAAAATCCAACATATAAAACCCTAAAATAATCCTCTATAATCTCAAACACCTGTAATAGACTCAAAATTTTCGTGACTTTATCTCTTTCAATTCTCCACGAGAATTTTCATTTCTATGTTCAGCTTCTTGGTTTAGCACACAAACAAAGACAACTTACCCATATAACTAACACAATTGCAGTCCAAATTAGAGTCTAAGAGCAAAATAGGAACATTTTTTGTACCTCCAGAGAGAACATCTGTTGTCGTGGCTGTTAGTTGTTCGTCTTTGTTCCACTGGTCTTTGTACCTCAACCACGGAAATCGTTATGCCCCACGGCCTACCGTCTTCCACTTCCATTCCCTCCTTCCTCTTATTATTCTTGTTTGGCCGCGAAATCTTAGCGAGGTTGTGGAACTTCACAAATCCGCGCAACTTTGCGGTACAGAACGGGACTCAGAACGTCGCCATCTCCGTCAGCCTTGCCATGGATTCGGCGCTGCACACCGAGACAAGAGTTCTTTCTTCTTCGTTTTCGAATTCACCGCCACTGTTAGTTGGCTGAGGTAAGAGAGGAGCTAGGCTAGGGTTGAGGTCACCGTCGTGGACGCAGGAGATGTTGCGGATCTAGGCTAGGTGGCTACAATGGACACTGAAACGAAGGATAAGAGAGGAGAACGAAGGACTAAGAATGAGAAGGAGAAAGAAATTGCATAATTCAAAAGAGAAAATATTAATCTACACCGGCTATTAGGTTAAGAGGGATAAAATAAAAAAAAATTATACCTATTTGAATCATAATCGGTATAAAATATTTGTATTTTTTTTACTATAATGCCACCATACTACTTTTTATACCTATTTTTATTATAACCCGTGTAAAAAAGTTTTTTATATTTACAAAATTGCCACCACACCACTTTTTATAGCTGATAAATTTTAAAAGGTATAAAAAATGTATATTTTTCACTAGTGGAATAAGTGCTGGTAGAATAGTTTATTTTTATTATCAGTTTTTAAAATTAGAAATTTGCTTTTGTTTTCTTTCATGTCTAAATAGGTATAAATAGTAATTTTGTATTTTTGTCTAATAGGCATGATATTGGAGTTTGAACATTAAAAGACAAAATAAATTATACTTTAATACACAAATTATTTATTTTTATTTGACATTATCATTTTTTTAAAATTATAAATATTTATTCTTTTATAATATTTATTTGATGAATACAAATGTATGTTATCTTATCATTATTTAAAAACAAATAAGTAAAGGATACGGAGTCTAATTTATCATAAATCCTAACCCAAAAATGAATGAAAAATTAAAACAGAAAAAAGTTAAGGAGTGATTTTCACGGAGGTGTAAAGGAATCATATAAAACATGACCTAGACTAAGTAACATGCTCTCAAATTTAGGCCAATTATTGAACATTTCTTTGATTTTAATTTGACTTTTAAAATTCAAAATTTTTCTCCTCGTCTTAAAGTATTGTTATATGCTTATGTTCATCATCTTCTTTTTGAAGCATGCTTTCATAATTATATAATTTAATGGATTAAACTTGTGTTCAATAATTATCTCGTGTTGTTTTGTTCCTGTTATTGTGTTCAAATCCTCATTTTACTCATAAATGCAAGTTTTCACACTATATAAGCTTATGGATTAAATTTGTATCTAGTTTAGTATATTTGAGATTCATGATTTTGTATTTCAAGTTATGAAACTGTAAAATTAAATTCAAGTTTCTTATCTTTAATTAAATTAATTTAAGTTAGACTCTTGGTCATCGGAATAAGTTCAATCCATGAATGTATGAAAGATGAGTTGATTGAGTTTTTGCTGGAACATTTTCTGTCTGCTATATATATACATTATCTCTCTTTCTCTTTGTATTTTGTAAAACAAATCTTTGCATGAGATTTGATGTCATATCAATATCATTATAATAAGGACAACTACATTTCTTTCCAACCATATTCATCTATCATGTGTCTTCATAACTGAATGAATTGCTAATTGCTGCTAAAGTGGTACAATGATGCAATCTGAAACTGTGACATACATGCAGTACATTCATCAGATCATCAAATTTCCTCTTCTTTTTTCACTCTACAATTCTGATATCCAAAACCATCACCATAGTGATCTCATGGAGCAGCAGAAGACACAGTAACACAGTCTACCCTTAATAACTGAATTCTGAAAAATTTATGAATACAAACCTCTTATTCATCTTTCAAATTGAGGCTATAATTCCGATAAACAGGTCAAACATGACAAACGAAACGAAATTAAAAGCAGAAAAGAGCCATAATGCAGAGGCTTTCCTAGATTAACCATGTACTATATATATCAGTATGTCTTCATACCAAAATGAAAGTCGTTCTTTTTAACAGATGAATAATCTTAAGACAAGCTGTTCAAGTTTAGTTTTAGAAAGTAAGAGTAATCAAAACATAATAATATTATAATCCTTGTTACTATATATACTTGGAGGAGAAAGAAATTAAGGAAATCAACTTGAAAGTATTCACCTACCATGAGTTCTGGACTGCATATGAATGAACACTTTTTCATAGTCTATACTATAGTACACTGAGTTTTGTCTCAAAATCTTTGTGGAGCTTGGCTTCTCTGCATAAGTGATCTGTTTTCCTTTAGAATCTCAGGTGGAAAGAAATGCTTAGTGTTCTGCAATGGAAAATTTGACACTGAACTGATTCTGGCAGAAAATGGCTAGATGTTTTATTGAATCACATGTGGAAAAAGAGATTAGTCAAGTTCTTCAAAAAGTCCCTGATGTTGTTTTCTAAGGTTCAGATCTTGTGTGTTTGAAAACCAAGGGAATGAAATGAACAGCAAGGACTGTTGTGATTAAAACAATACAGCTCCAAAGAAAGATGTTGTTTTGAATCATGAGTTGAGCATTCTTAATGAACCTTAACTCAGGTTACATAACCAAAGTTAAGTATAGTGAAAAACTAAGAAGACTGAAAGCAAAAGCAACATGATAAAGGTGACCTTACCATAATCATGGCACCACCTGCATAAAGGTACAAGAACATGAAGTGAATAACTTAATCAATCCATAAATTTGACCCCTTAGAAAGAAATTGCAAAAGTTACAAGAGAAAAAAGGAAAGGAGAATGATAATGTACTTTTATCTTGGATTTTCCCTTCATTACTTGGCCAAATTTTCAAGGAACACCAATATCTAATGACAAGAAGTTTGAGAAGGCTTTGATATGGTAAAGGAAAAGAAAAAGTATATGAAAAAGTGAAGAATTAGGAGCTCCCTTCAGTCCAAAACTACAGCAACTTGTGCATGGAAGCTTTGGGCTGCAAGGAACTCCCATTTCTGCAGCTTTCACAACTCCAACACATGTGATGAATAAAAGAACGTAAACAGCTTCATTTATACAAACTCCTTTTCCTTACTTGATTCAATAAGTAATGGTCTAAAAGTTCTGATCATTTCCATCCAATTTCTAGCAGTACCCCAGATAAAATTAGGTAAAAGAAAATGAACAAGTGTAATAATTTATAACTGAAGTTACCGTTACAACTTTCAAACCACTAAAAACAAAGTGCCTCCTTTTTGACAATTCTTGCTTTCATTGTTCCTCAAGGAGTGATTTTAGCTGCTTATAAGTAGCACCTACCCACCATAGGCATAGCTGGAAAATCATTCCCCTAATCACAAAAGTGCAACATAAATGGTTCCTGCCAACACTTTTTTTTTCAAACATATAGTGTAAAAGTTATAGTATTTAACAATATCTAAGTTAAAAAGAATAATATCTGTAGTACCATGAATCTGATAAATAATTTCCAGTGAAAACAACCATCCTATGAGAGTGCCTAACAAGAATTAACAACATTCTTATAAAGGAATATAACTCCCACCACTCTTTAGTGTCATTTCCCTTTTCCTTTTCCACTTAAGCTCACTGAATTCCTATGATGTTGTTGTGCTTTTCCAACCATTCTTACTATGTGGTCCTGTCTCTGCCTCAGAATTTTGCTGCATACACACACACACACATACAAAAACATATACATATATATTGGTCTGAACAAGGATTCTGAAAATCTCTTTAATTTGATGAAAGTAAATGTTTTGCTTTGTGTCCCATCAAGGAGTTGAGATGGGTCTGATGCATTCCTACCTTGATTCCTTTTATGACCAAATGATAGGAACTGCATTTTATTTCCAAAAAACTTTTGGGTCTTTCTAATTTTCCTTTCCATTTCAATGACTTTGATTAATCTGTAGCTAAACTTCTGAAAGCTCTCATAGTCTTTTCTTCTGTCACTCCACTATGAACTCGGTGTCTTTGCCTTTCAAGCTACCCTTTTAGATTGTTTCATGGTTTAACTTGTTTTGCTAAAATTATACTCATTTCGTATAGCTTTTAACCATTTCTGATTATTTTACTACCAGTTTATCAGAACCTACTTGCAGTATTAAAATATTCATTGTAGTCTTTTTCTTCTTTATCATTTTATCTATTCTTGTCTTTATGTCATTTTATTTTGAGAATCAAATGTCAGTTTTTAATAAATATGAAAGTTGAATATTCTATAAGAAAAAAAAACTTACACGTTGGTTGATTGTCTTAACATTTTAAAATAAAATAAATGAATCACTCAGATCTTAATTAATTAAGTGATTTTGTGTTCATTATGTAACTTATCAAGAATTAGCTTTACCGATAAATTTCATTCATTTCAACTTTCAATTAGCAATTTTAGCTTCTCAGCCAATATTTCAATTTTAATTTGCTTGTCTAAGAGTTCTGCCAAGTACAAACATTTAAGTTTCTTTTTTCTTTTTGAATTCTTTTATATGTTCATATAAAATTTACAAGTCAAAATAATAATGTAAAAATTCATTTATTATTTCCCTTATTTTTAATGTTTGAAACTATTGACTAAAGAGATAAAGATAAAAGACAAAATAAATTAAATTCTTCCCATAACTTTAATTAATTAATACATAAAGCAAAATTAATTTTAGTGATATTTTTTATTATAGATCTTAAACATTATATATATATATATATATATATATATATATAGTTTAGAAGATCTAATATTGGTCAAAAGAGTTTTGATTTTCAATATAGAGAATATAATTTTCTTCAAAGACATAAAAAATGGTATTATAAACTCACTTGCTTTAGATAATATTAGAGAAAAGAACTACTGTAAAACTCATAAAAATTACTTAAAATTTAAAAATGAGGCGTACCGTTAAAATGAAAATGAAATTATAAAAAATCATATATCTTCACTGGAATAAAATTGAAAATTTATACTAAAACTACTTTATATACCTAAAAATATTAATATGCACATAATTAAAAAGTGCAATTTTATTTTATAGGGAAATACCAACGGCCTCTTTAATTTGATTCTCCCTAGTTTGAAATAGCTTATAGGCTTAACTTTTTAAGGTTCCTTTCCTTTTCGTGCATAGGTTCATAGCCAACAAAAAGAGGAAAATTTTGCACATAAAAACACTTAAGAAAATGTACATTAGAAAACAATGACGTGACTACTAAATTTAGAAAAAATGGAATTAGAAAAAAGAAAACAAACGAAAATGACAACCATACAACAATACTACTTGTTAGAATTTGAAATTCAGAAGTAGAAGAATAAAACTTATTAAAGGATTGATCAACCACTAAATTAGACATATATGTTGCTG